GCAATATAGTTCCAGGCGCTTCAATGTCTATTCATAGCGTTAGCAACGTAAATGAATAAAGAGGTAATTGAAACAGATCAATGCAAGAAATCTGTGGTTAGAAGAGCCGTTACAAAATACAATTTTCGACAAATATCTACTTAAAATTTCAAGTCACTTGTCGCGGCGACTACCCCACAGAGAAGACAAGATTTTTATTTAAGAGTTTTATTTTAACGAACAAGAGGAACGTCTAGTCTGCCTGTACCAGCGACAAGATGTCGGTACGACAGTTAGCATATCGTGGTCGATAGTTCAGAGTTAAAAATAGTCACGTATTCCGTATCATAGTTAAGCCATGTTAAATCAAATATGGCATTCGCTAGTACCAACTTTGATATAATCAAAAATCWCCCTCGCCGCTTTCTTTTAACTTGCGGGCTTCCTGTCCCTCGACCTAAGGAAAGGCTACTAAGGCGAATTCGCTTCCGACTCAGTTATATCCGACAAATTCATCATTATCATTAATGCATCATTTTCACAATTTTTGCAATAATGTGTGCAAATAATATTGCTTTGACCTGTGCGAAAAGACCAATAGATCTCACTAACCGATATATGAAAAACACTTGATGATCACGGATCACATACATGGGCTTCCTGTGGTAATATAAATAGTGATAGCTGATTTACCTACAAGTACGAAAAGCAAATTTTTGCACTGTTGTGGACAGAACATCTTTATCATCGCTTGCATTACAAGATTCAATGTATATATTAGCTTACGTGTAAAGCGAGGGGATAATTCAATGAAAAGCTTTGGATTTTTCTGTAAATGAAACACAAAAACTCAAGTTGAAACACAAATTATATTAATGAGAAATAAAGAACAAGGAATACATTTCCCACCAAGCTTTGCCAGAAAATGGAGACATTGATAGAGATCATAGAGTTGAGACAAGCGYACTATTTCATGCCAGCCATGAATGTGGCGGAACTTAGTCAGTTACGTTTTGAATAAATTCCAGATGTAACGAGTCAAATGCGCTTTGTGGCCTGCGTATAAACCATCGATCAAGCATTAAAGACCTGAGTTCAAACCATAGCCTGTTGTATCAGCAGATTGACATAAAGGAATCCCATTATAATCGACAGAAAATTGTTTTTAAAACTTAATAGACTTAAGGAACTTGAACTTGGAGCCCTTTAAGATGGGTGTGTGATAAACGGAACCTTTTAAAAGCCTCGGGAACACACTAGCTGCGCGCTCAGTAACAAGCAGTCACGTTCACAAAATATGGACATTGTTTCTAGAGAGTTTTGTTTCTAGATTTGTTTGCCCTTCGCGTAAGCTTTGTTTGAATAGGAAGTTTTTCTTTGTAAATGACTCAATATAGTTTAGCTTTTGTTCGTATTTTCAGTGGCCGACTGGAATCAATTTGTAGAAGTTGTGAAACTAAGTCCGGATGACACAGTATTTACTGGTTTATGTTGTCAAGTCTTAWATGTACTGACTAAATTTACAATAAAATGGTTTTAAAAACATTTCAGAAGTGGATTTGAGTGGAGAGAGTAAATTTCATACACGTATAGAGGACATGGTGTTCATGGAAATGGTTAGTTAACCTTTTTAAGCAAGCTAAAAAACATTTGTTTGACTGTAGAGTTAATAACATTCGCACAGTGCAGTACAAATACGTTATACGACTGGTGTTCTAGCATCGTGAACGTGATGCAGCGGTCAACTTAGAATGAAAAAATATGAAAAAGCTTCAACTCCTGCTAGGTTTTTTGTCGTAACTCTTTCCAGAATGTCTGCATTATACACTATCATCATTATACACCACCGAACAGGAAATATACCTCAGTAAATCTGAACACGTAAACGATATTTTGTACAAATACCACAGCGCGATAAATTCAGTAAATCTCACCAAAGTATCCTTCATAATAAGCTCCATTTGGTTTTGAAAACACTCTGATTCTATTGCGTGTTGTTTTGGTTTTGCCCCAATTAGGAAGTGCCCCTCGGTTGGTCCTACTTAAGTTGGGTGTGTCGGACAATGTTGTGCGCATCTTGTCTTAATACTTAAAACCACACTCTAAACATTACAGGCCTTCGAAAGCATATGTTTGATTTGGGGTATTTTTAGATTATTATTTAAGTAATAGGAGGACTTATTTCTGCAAATATACGATATCATTTATTCATACGAGTTGACTGAAGACATCGCCCTCTACGTGACAGCTCGATAAATCACACTCGATGGGAAACAAAAATATATTYCTTCAGTTTTATTAATTCAGTTATGTACGGCATAATAACACTAGCGTGGTGCAAAAACATCCGGGCACTGGAACAGTCAGAAGGCCGAATGGTGAGATTGAAGGCCCGATATCTTTTTATCGAACATGCATCTACAATATACCGGTGTCGATTTCGGCAATTTTTTTTCTTTTTTTTGCGTTTCGTTAAGCCTCTTTTTAACCTCTTTCTTTAAGAATTAATGAAGTATAAAGCATGTATTTAATAGATATAGAGTACAGTAGCAAGATATCCTATAAATAGCCTCCCTTCAAGCCGGCCTAAAACAACGAAGTGTATCCTGGAATATTTGTAAAAAAATAACAGCAAGATTTAACGAAGAGAATCCCAGATGCAACCAGACAAACAAGCCAACAAACAGACGAAAGACTCAGCCTGATTCGATCCTGATTTAGATCCACAATAGCCTTCAAAACGAGCTTTAAAAGCACCAAATATGGAACTGATCACATGGTTTAAAACTTGTTCATGACCCCAACTTCAAGAGTGTTGGTTATTAACAGGACATATATATCTTGTGGTTWCGCTAAATTTCTTAAAGCCAGTCGTAAAGTCTCTTCGAACTTGTCTCACGGAAAGTCTTAGCGACGCACAGTTGTCTAGTATAAGAAACCCGCTGTGCAGAGTGACCGCCGATGGATAGCTGCCAAAATGACGTCATACATACAGATGTGAACAATTTGCTCAACGCGGAATGACATTTCAAGGGCTTCAATGTGTGCTTCTTTTAATATTTGTTACTTTTTGAATATATTCTTAAATATATTCTATTGTTACCTTTTATTATTCATTTTATTATATTCATTCCTTTTTCAAGAATTGCTCGCTTCTTTTCAGCCTTTTTCACGAATTGCTTACACCCATTTTTAAGCTCATTTGTATCCTATCGGTTRTTYAGTTGGTCCCCAAACTTGTTCTTAAATTCGTTCGTTAAAACATTGCTTTTTGCATCAAATCAATAAAAATTTTTTTWRAAATTCTTGCATAAAAAAATCAACTAATAACATTGAAAACATTCTCAGAAATCTCAGTTTCTGAATTCCAGATGCGCTTTTCAATTCTTARTTCTGGAAAAATTCACGCCAAGTATGTGAAGAGAATACGTGACACAGGGGACCCCTGGTGGGGAGGGGGTGAGGGTATGTAAGAAATATTTCAATCCAGTCTTCCTTTTTGAGTCCTTACATTTCCGCGGAGCGTGCATTGATAGTTTGATGAGTTAGAAAATGATATACGGTTGGCTAAGTTATCGGAAATAACTCCTTGTCGATAAACAGCTTCCCGCCTAAACTCAGAACAAGCTACAATTGTAACAGTGCAGATTAGCTCTTCATTGCATAGCTAATTCATTTTGTTTTCCCTTTTTTTGAAGAAAGTTTACTGTTAATATGATCCACTGTTATAAAACTATTCTAACTGCTGAGAAAAGCACTCGTTTTCACCGCGACTTAACCGACTTAAGGTCAAGAGTAGACAAATGAGAAAAAACACAAAGGATGGTCACATTAAAAGTAACGAATAGAAAGGAAAACGGACACTGCTGTAAAAAAAAATCAGGAAAGAAGAAAGATGGCATTTGAAGTACTTGCTAATTACCAATTAAGTATTGTTTTTAAGGCAAAATTATAAAAGGTTTTTGACTTTTTTTAAACACTGATATTGACGAACTATGTCTTTCGTGCATAGGAAAAGACAAGAGAGATCAAAAGTCCTGTTTGAGCTGTTTGAGCTGATATAGGATCAAAGAAAAGGCGCAAAAACACTAGCTTGGAAATCAATTCGGGTAGTGTTGATCCTATACTATTCTACAAGTTGAAAGCAGAAAAAAATAGAGAAATATTCAACACTTAATGGTGAATTTTAACGTTGAAAACTGTTGCACTTACTGGAGGCGTCATTCAAGGTAAATGTCGGTATTTTTATTATTTCCTTTACCGATAAAAAGATAACAGAGCTGCAAGATAAAATGCAGATAATAGTCTCCTTAAACAGAGCCATTACCAGTTAAATACTTCAAATGACAAGCAGAAACTTTCAATCTCGTTAATTGATGTTGGGTAAAAAATACAGTCAATTAACATGAATTAAAATGCCAATATGAATTCGACGTCTATTTTTTCTTTTTTTCTTTCTTTTTCTTTCTTTATAAAGTTCTTTTTGTGACTTTACTTTTATACTTATAAATATTTAAAGTTTTRCCAAAGTTGACAAGAATGCTCAATAAAGACATTGTTAGTGTAGTAAGTTGACAACAATATAATTTTTGTAACTATTTTTCTTCTCAGGAAAGTTCACGACAAATAAGATTCCGATCATGTACGAAGTATCCAAACTGAGCTTGATTAGATGCCTCGTATCATAGCGATCATGTTTTCCCAGAAAGTCTTAACAGATAAAACCTCAAAAGAAAAGATTTGTTGATATACAAGAGTAGTAATTTGATAGGAATTCTGTCGTGGTTTCAAGGGCTTTCTTAGAGCACCGAATACCGCTTTAAAAAAATAGAGACGTCTGGACGCCCACATATTTTTATTCACTTCACTGGAGAAGCAATTAAAAGATGGTTTTATATGTGTGTGTGGGATGCATTGTACAGCACGACTTGTGTATTTTCTTTACCAAACCATTTCCTCTTCCGGTGGTTTTTGATTGGCTAATCGGATGCCTCAATGTCAAGTTGATAACAATCGCACGTATTGACAGCCACAAAWTGAAATCAACAAGAGTAGCTGCGAGATCAAGTAACTTGGACACTTCACTTGCGATTTGAACACAAATCATTCATTTGGATTTACGAATTCACACCACAAGTTGCTGGGCTGTTGCTCGTGGTTTTATTTCATCATTTCAGTTCCTTGAATCCAAGATGGTCAAGCCAGAAATCAAGGGCGACAAGCCTAAGCTGTTGCCTTCGGAATCGAGTGACGATTCCAACATGGACGTCGACGGGAAGTTTTTCATGGCGAAAGACAGCGAAGATGGCGAAGTTATAGTAACTTTCGATGAAACTAGAGGCCGTAAAGGCCCGAGAATATGCGTGTTTGTTGGCCTGTTTGTCTTTGTACTGGTCGTTGGGTTTCTATCTGTATATTTGATTGGTCGCACGCATGGGTAAGCAGCTCTTTGATATTCTAAAACCAGCTAAATCCTACATTGTTCTTTCTCATGTAATAATTCCAACATATTCCACCTTCGTATTCCCCTTTGTATAATTCAATTATTTGGGCTTACTACGAATCAAAATACCCGCACGATCTGAGCACATGAATGCTGTAACAGATAGGAAGGTCGGTTCGCAGACTCTGTGTAAACATTGAAAGCGTATTATCTAAGAGCGTATGGTTTCTTCGCATTACTAAGTGAGATTCCGGGTGTTGTCCATTAATKCAKCGARAGCASCATTTCTATGTATAGTTTAGTTAGTCYAACAGTTAAAAAAACGAGTTTATTGTATGTAATTACTTCAGATAAAACAATGAAGAACGTTGTGGCATCCGTGCGTATCGATTGAYAATAACGTTGGAACTACATTTACACCTAAACACTGGGCGACTATTCAAGAATTATGCATTCTCGCGGTTCCGCACGGTTACTTTACGTTAACTATTTGTGTAAAATGGTAACAAGTAATGCATGGTAGTTGACCACTGCTTGCCCTTACATTTTACGTGTCATTGTATGATTTTTAACCTTCAGTTCATATAACTCTCATACCGTTAACGCCAAACTGGTGTGATTCGTAAACATAGCAGTGTTTTTCATTGCCCGAAGCAAGGCAAACAATACAATATTTAGAAATAAATAAGCATTTAAAACTACAGAAAATGTTAAGAATTAAGTCTGAATTTGATACTTGGACAAAAAGAAAAAATATTTTATGCAGTTCGTAATGAACATTAATTTTCAAAGGTGTTTTTGAAAGCCACGGTATCAGACAAAGATTTTTTTAGAAGTGGTCAATATCAATGAATTCATAAAATATAAGCATTTTTGATCGTAATCTTGTTGGGTTAMAAGCCCACAAARTGCACGAAAATTTAATTTTTCATACGATATCAAAAAAGTCAATTCATCTCCATTCTCGTGAGAGAAAGTTTCCGATATGTCAAAAGTAATAAAAAACTTGTAATCAAATTAACTTTTCCTTTAATTAGGTTATCGAGATGAAAGCATGACGATCTTTTGTCTTGAAACATTGCAAATTTTTGCCAATGCAAAACCTGTGCGTTGATTGGTCAGAATGACTGGGCATCTGTCCAACCAGATGAAAGCATTTTCAGCAAATGTCGAGATAAGCTCGTCAAAAAGTTGCGCTGCTTTGACTCTTCACAGAACATAAGAAAACATCATCCTTGGAAAAGCTTTTGAAAAACTTTTCCTATCCTTAATAGTACATTTTACAATTCCAAGGAATTACAATTCACAGAAGAGGAAGGTCTTTGCCCTAGTCTGATGTTTGTTATAAAATAGCCAAGGCGTTACATTGTTACATTCTTTTTGAATTCTTCCCCCCTGCTAAGTTTTTTCAATTACTTTAGGAAATTGTTGTGAGTTTACAAGGAAACATCTCTGAATGAATTTTGGATTTGTAATATAATTGTTGCATGGAAGCAAGTCAACAAATCAAGKCAAATGAATGATACATTCTATTAGAATGCAAATACAGCAAACACTAAAGTTTCTCTTTCTCAGCAATCAATAACTAAAATTCAACAACGATRTATGAAAATGGAGGCACATATGAAAAATATATTGTCATTGCCAACAAGCTTTTATAAGCTTTTTTAAAATTCCTTCTTCAAAGAAGGAATTTTAATGCTGTAAACATCTTATTAATTCACATTAACTTTGGAGGGACAAAAAAGCACCAACACCACTATTTAACTAAGGGTAGGGCATGGAGCTCCTGGTGTTGATGCTAGAGTGCCAGTACTTCGTGTATGTAAATAATATGAGAAATGATATTTCACTTGTTTGTGGAAAAAGGTAGAAAAAAGTATTGTTCTTATTGCACAAATATATCACACAAAGAATATAGTTAGTGAAATTATTTCCGTTTTTCCTACCAATCTTTCTCAAGAGGATAATGAAGTTAATTTTTGCTAATACAAAGTTTGAAAAGTCATGTGAATTCACCCGCTTGGGTGGCTGCACTAATCCATGATGAAAAATCAAAACTGTGATAAAATTATCATGGTCTTTAGTGAGGACAAAACCCTTGTCCACACTCATATACTTAAATTTCCCTTAAAAAAATACAAAATTTAGAATATGTCCTTTCCTGAATGAAAGTGTACATCACACACCCATTGGCAAGTCATCTTGTATATATCACTCTCATATTACTAAAGATAAACGATAAAAGCAAACCAACAAGCCACCATAGCATTCTTAGACATTCGTAAAAGCTTAATGAATATTTCCCCTAAGGCTAGTAMACGAAACCAAAGTGTTAGATGACCTCTTTTAATAAAAATCTTTCACTAGACAAGCCAATATGATTCAAAAGCTTCCCATGTGTTGAACGTTTATTAAAAGAAGCAAGCCTTCAGGGAGAAAAATATAAATAGTTCCAGAGTAAATCTTATAAAATATGCAATACGATAATCTATCTAATCTTTTTATAGCATATTTTATGGGAACCATATCCTTGATAAAGATTCCATCAGATGCATGGATTAGATATGGAGAATCTGATCTACATTCAGTCTAGAGATTACATCTTTTTAATTTACTTTAAAAGAAATATACCCAGGCTAGTTGACAAATTTGATTTTATGTTTTGACTAATAAATGCCTCAACTCAGTCTGTATGATTCAAAATTTATTGTGTACAATGTAATTAGCATTGAAACTCTACTTCACCTGTTGCCGTTACACCAAATAAATCACTATTTTGTTGAAAGGCRTATAAGAGTTCATGGCCTAAGCATTCCCAATGTAATCTTTGAGCATTTCAACACATTTTTGTAATGGTTTGACTTTCCTAAGGGAAGAACCAGTGCAAGTAAAGCACAAAAACAACTTATAAACAGAGAAAGTTGTGCTTTTKCAGTATTTTTCATTTTCAAATGTGTGCTACACTGTGCATGTATATGAAAAATAATTAAACAGTTTTCATTAAGCAGTGACTGTTGGTCAAAATGGGAAGTTTTCTCTCATTGAGTAAAGTTGAAAAGAATAAATCTATAACTGGCTAAATACTGTCTGATGAGTAAGCAGCACGAAACTCAGAGTAACAGCAAATCTTGCCTCTTTGATATTATATAGCATATAATTGGCTAGCTGTTAAAGTTTTTGCTTCCAAAAGTTTGATGAATTTTGGGATTTGATTGTAGTGTTTCAACATGGCATCTGTGCAAGATTATGAAAATAATCATGACTGACCCCCTAATGTCTGCACTATAAGTTGATCTTTTCATAGTTTAACCCATAATCGTTGCAGGTGGGACCTAGTAAGATTGTTTAAATTAAGTGTTATCATTTGCACCATCTTAACAGTGTTAGCTGAATATTATTGTCAGATGTTGCATGCATGCGATCAATCCGGTACAAGATACCTTTGGTAAAGGTGTTTCTAATTAGAATCGCAACATGATATAAACATGACCATAGTGGCTAGTAGTAAAATAATGAACAAAATTTTCAAAAATATAACAATGAATACTCTATTGATAATATCTAAGACTGAATGATCAAATAATATTTCAATTTTTATCATAGTAATGCTTTTTCTCCTTTTGTCTTCCTTCTTTTCTTTTTTCTTTTTCTTTTCTTTTCATCTCTCTCACACTTTTCATTTTGTCAATTTTTTTGTGCGCAAATTATAGTCCTTTTTGTATTTTCTCTTTCAACATAATGAATGTCTTCCTTTTTGTAAAAATTTAAACTTTTAACTTTTAACTTTTGATTTTAACTTTAGTTTAAACTATTCATCAGTACAGAAAAAACAGTGCTAGTCTAGGGCTAACTGTAGAGGTTGCTAACTGTAGAGGTTTCTAAGTTAATTCTGGGTTTGTCTTTGTTTGGCACTAGTTTCAAATCAAAATAAATAATCCAGACATTTTGTTTCATTTTACAGAAACAAGACTGAACATGACAGAAGAGCTAATATGGCTGACGACATTGCGCAAATCCCCACCAGGACCCCTGACTTATCAAACACAAGCAAACTATGGCAGAAGAATGCATCGTGGGAAACCCGTGAAGAACTATTCCAATTATCTGACACAATAGGAGCCAGTGATATTATTGGTTTAAAGCCAATCTACAGAAAAGATCTGCCTTCAAATTATATTGCTTACTGGGAAGTGAAGTTGAATTCAAAGACGGGAGAAAAGTATGTCATTATTTCTGCAGGTGAGGCATTTTAAAGTTTGAATGTTGCAAGAATTAATTAATCACAAATTTATTATGCATACATAAGCAAATAAGATGCTTAATGCTCAAAAAAAATACATTGTTATCTAGATGTATCCCCAGTAAATCCTGATACCATTTAAATCTTTTTTAAGAAGGATAGAATGAAGTGCATTACCAAATAAACACTGGTCTTAATATTAAGTTTGAACAAAAGTTGTTGACTCTAATGGAAACAACATCAACTCAAAGCACACTTAGTCCCCTCAAATACTATGCTTAAAGCAAGGGAAATGCCCAAAAACATTCTTACAAAGCAGTTTCGATAGCTATGTATGAGTAGAAGGGTAATAGTAAAGCAATTATTGCTAATAATATCTAGAAAATACACAGTATTAAAGAAATATAAAAAAGATTGCACAAAAATATATAAAATAATGATGTCATTAATGTTAATATCAATATTATTGATAAATTATAGTTAGAAATAAGAAAAAAAATGAAAATTAATACAGTTTAAGCTAAGTTTAAGGGGATAAAGGGAGACAGTTTAATATACACAAGTCTATTACAACCCTCTAAACTTATTAAGTATACAAGCAAACTTGACATACCTTTATCCTATGTTCACAGCAAAAGAGACAGGTGACCATCGCCTTGCTCAAGAAGGCTCGCTTCCAAGTCCACTGGACTTACTGTCTGACTCGGCCAGACTGTTTGGTCATAGCTGTCACAAGGTTTATCGACTGACACCTGATGGGCTGATGGTCTGTGAAGACAAGTCACTTGGGAGGCTTGTTGCCGCAACTAGAGATATAGAGACAGATTCCGAGGTGTGTTGACTAATGAGTCTGTTGTTCGACTTCCATATATGGATGTCCATATGCATAGCACTGATGTACATATGGAAGGCTCCTTAAAGGGACACTGTCAATGGCACGCATGCGCGAGTAAACTTAAAAACATTAGGCTAATGTTTTCAAGTTTATGACTCCAAGTTGGCGCGACATAAATCAGCTCGTAAACGTAAACAGATCTAGAATATTCCAAAGTGTGTCAAAAGCACCACAAAATGATTT